CCCCCCCCCCCCCCCCCTCCCATATTAATCTTGAGCCATCGTTCACTGCGCCTGGGCCCCATCAGACGTTGGTCATTCGTTGTCCTTTTTAAGACCCCAGCACGTCCCTGCGGCAAAATTTCCCTTGATAACTATAGAAAAAATAGTTTTGGATCCAAAAAGTGGTGGGATACTGTGAATAGAATTACTGGCAGAAAAAGCAAGAACAGCAATATTAGCTCAGTCATCGATCCACAACATATTAATTCGTACTTTCAAAATGTAAACACGGATGCGAATTACATATCCCCCCAATTCATACCAATTCCTGAAGGCACTCGAGTTCCTACCATTGATGAGCCTACTGTTATAAGTTTTTTGACGAAACTAAAACGAACAGCGCCAGGTCCTGATGGGCTTCCATATTGGTTATGGAAAGACTTTGCACAACTTTTAGCGCCCATAATTACCAAAGTGCTCAATCGAACAACAATGTGTCCCTCTGATGTGGAAGCTCGCCAATGTGAACCCTTTACCCAAAGAATCTCCTTTGACAGAGTGTAATCAGTTGAGGCCTATATCGCTCACAAACATCATTATGAGATTATTTGAAAGGGTAGTTTATAAACAGGAGATTGCGTCTGCATTCAAATCCGTGATCGGACGAGATCAATTTGCTTATAAAGAGGGAACAAATACTACCGATGCTCTGATTATGTGTTTGCATCATTGGCTCAAGTGGCTGGATGAAGGTGCATACTCTGTTAGGGTAATATCATTTGACTATAAGAAAGCGTTTGACTCGGTATCTCATAACATTATTTGTGAAAAATTGAAAACACTCGAAATTAACCCGTATACTATAAACTGGATTATTAGTTTTCTGGCCAACAGAAAACAAAGAGTTGTTGTTGATGGCATAGAAACTGTTTATGTTGATATTGACAAAGGCGTACCGCAGGGTACGGTTTTGGATCCCTTTCTATTTTCGTTGATGGTTAATGATATAAAACCCATGGATGCGCAAAACAACCTATTGGTTAAATTTGCTTATGATATAACAACAAGTGCTCCAGTAAAATCAGGATCGGATTCTGCTGAGGCTGAGGTGGAAAGCATTCAGAATTGGTCGGAAGCAAATCAAATGACATTAAATATTTCTAAAACGTGGGAAATGGTTGTGCACGGTGGGTCTATGAAACCGTTACCGGCACCGATTGTAGGCATTGAACAAAAGAGCTGGTTGAAATTATTAGGTGTCACATTTCAGGAAAATCCATGTTGCTGGGATCTTCATATCGATGATCTTCTGTCGAAGGCTAGTGGGCGTATGTACATATTGAGAGTGTGTAGATGCTATATGGTTACTCTGCAGATCAGCTAAGCAAATTATTCGATTCGCTAATCATGTCACTCTTTTACTATTGCATTGAAGTGTGGGGCTCTGCACTCCAAAAGAAATATTTGGATCGTATAGACAAGTTTTTCCGGCGGGCTTATCGTTATGGATATACGACAAAGAGTATTAAGATATCTGAAGTGATCGAGGAGAGAGACAGAAAATTATTTAGCAAAATCGTATCGAATCCAGAACATGCCCTACATGAATTGCTTCCTGTGTGTAAACAAAGGATTTTAAGACAAAGGGAACATAACTTTATTTTACCTCAAATTAAAATGGAACGATTTAAACGATCCTTCATAAATAGATGTCTTTTTAACTATTTTTAACTTTCATATAATTAATTAGGATAGGTCAATTTTTTAACTGTAATAAATAGGAATTTGATATTTGTAAAGTTGCACGTCTGTTGTGACTCTAGACATTAAAGACTTTGATAATAACTCAGCAAAATTCACTTACACTCCCCTCCCCCATTCAAAGAGGTCCCCTGGTTGCATCCCCATCAGTTCGAAGTTTCTATGGTTTGAACTATTTTCTGCTGAAGCATGTTGTTGTACAATATTTAGGAAACTTAGGTTTTATTATTATCAAGTAATCATTGAATACATACTGTATGCCATTAAAAACAGGCAATCAGACAGATATTTGGTATGGTAAACTGACCAATTAAATATTAAAATACTTGCTCCACATGTCATATTTCAGGTTAGAAAAGTCACTCTTATGCCTGGCCATGGAATTGGACCTGAAATTTCTGATGCCGTAAAAGATGTTTTCAGTGCCGCCGAGGTAGGGAATTTCTATACAGGTGTATGTACCACAGAATACCACGGTACCACAGAATACCAGTCTTATTTATTTCTTATATAAAATTTGAAGGAAACTGCTATAAACTTTATATTTGTGATTATATATTAGTTTTAGTCTTAATTGACATATAAAAACAAAAAATGTATATTTTCTTAAAAATAATAAGGATTAAACAAAAAGTAACATTTATATTTTTGGTACTTTTTTTCGCATAATGCCTATAAAATCCGAATGTTTAAAAATAAGTTCGCAAACCAGCATAATTTATGTTGATCAATACTTTTTCTATGCAATGCAGCATTTTTACTACACTGGAATCACACAGTGTAATCAATTTTACCATTGAAAAACTGAATTTTTCAAAAATATTGATAAACCTGGTATTCTTTGGTTATACCATTGGTATTCTGTACTGATCTTAGTGTTTAACTTTCACTAAATTAAGTTAGCAATATCCCACAGTATTATCATACAACATGACACACCAAATCCTGGTACAATTCGATAAACTGTTGCTTACTGCACTGGTATTCTGTCAGTGGTACATTGGATTTTTTCCACAGAATATTCATTTAAAAATAAAATAATTGCTATGAAATCTTGCCCCAAAACCCCCAGGAAGAAAAAATATATCGATAGACTATACTAAAAAATATTAAGGAACCATATTATATACATTAGACAAAAGATATGGAACATGTAAATTTTGGTGGTATTCTGTGGTACATATACACCTGTAGCACACATTTATATGTGGATATGATCAATTGCGCTTCACAGTTTACAGTACACCAAGTATTACACTTACCTAGCCACACACTTTACCTGGACTATTTTTATCTTTACAACAATTGTGATATTAATTTTTTAACTGTGTTTATCCTAACCCACCCTGTCAACTTTCCCTGTGGGGGGAAACCGGAGCACCCGGAGAAAACGAACGACTTTCGGCAGAGCGTTGACGGACTCTTTTCACATGAGTTTGTAGCGAGAATCAAACCCACAATCTCTGAGGTGAAAGGCGCTTCTCAACCTTCTACCCAGGGTCTTGGGGGACCCTGGTAGACGCTGGTCACGTGATCTGCAGATTTTTAATTGGCAATCCAAGATGAGGTCAATAAATATTTGATATTTGGATAATTTTTGTAGTTTAATTTATATTTTGTATGATTGTCGTAAAGGAATCCAAGATAGTTAATTTGAAATCTGCTAGATTTTAGCAGATCATGTGACCAGCGTCTACCTGGGTCTTTTCTCGCAAAGAGGAAAGAGCCTGGGTACGAGGTTGGGCGCTTCTCTGACAACTACGCCACCAGAGTGAATAGAATTAGCCTTTCTCCAAAAGAGATCACAGTGCATTCTGGGATTGTTTGGAGGGACAAAATATATGGTCATCACAGAGGTATCTACCATCAGATATCAACTTTTTAGACAACCAAAAATGAAATATCAAATATCTTCTTTTTACATTAAAAATTTAATTTAAATGCGTGCTGCCATATTTCTTGTCCCTCCAACATGGGATTCGCGCGACTAGACCCAGGACTTTGGGAAATGGCTAATTAGTAAATGTACACACAGGGTGAAAAAATGGACTGGGACAATTGCGCACCTGACATTAATATGGTGTGTGATATCCCATGTGCCGATACAAATGCACATGGCCAGGCTTGTTCAGTTTATTATTTGTTTTAAATACGAGCATGAACTTTCTGTCAATTCTTCAAGGTTCCAATAGCATGGGAAGAGGTGAATGTGGAGCCTATCATCTTGCCAAGTGGAAAAACCACTGTTCCACCACAAGTTATAAAATCAATCAACCAAAACAAAGTTGGATTGAAAGGTACACAAAATGCATGTGCAGTCTTATATGATGAATGACAAAGGGAAATCAAGGGGTGGGGTACTCTAGGTAGAAGTTACTAAGAGCACGAGTAACTTAGTAACACATCAGATTTACACAATATAATTAATTGCTAATTAAGGTGATTCATCAGTTTGCATTGCGCATATCTAATAACAAATCCTAGCTAATATATATGTAGTCGAACTGCAATGTAAAGTGATAAAGAAAGAGTAAAGGCAAAGAGAAAAACACTCCGCATCGATTAGGCGTGCTTCAGAGAATATACAAAAATGGCAGGGCTCGCTGTGCAAGAAGACCCGTGACCCTACTTTTTATTTTATATTTTTGTTCTTCTATACGCTTTAGGCCTACATGTCATATCAGAAAATAAGAGAAAACTCACTTCTACAACTTATAATATTTTACATTTTTCGCGCATGCTTCCCAAAATAACATGTCTGAGAAGATGGGAAAAGACATCTTTGCACCACGACAATGCACGCCAATGGTTTTTGATTCGCTAAAATACCATGTTTTGTTGTATATAAAGTCACTAGACAGACATTTTTAATAGGATCCTTGTTAAAAACGGTTGAGCAATTGCGATTGTTCCTGTAACTCGTATATAAAAGGGCCAAGTCTGTCAAGGTGGCGTCGTACGGGGGAAAATATGGCATATTGCACTTGTCATATCTTCGAAACGACTTCGGTGATCGCAACTTTTTTTCTGTTTTTACTATGAGAGCATATCATAAACTTCACCTCTGGAAAGTTTCAGCATATTCTCATTTCCAGAACAATTACTGGTGAATCACCTTGATTACAGTTTTTAATACCTTGGAACGTTTGCTGGTCACATGGTACTTGGCTGAAAACAAAGAAGTACCAGACCGTAACATTGGCGTACCTACGCAGTACTTAAGTCAGGGGTGGATCCAGCAAGGTTTTTCTAGAAGGGTGCTGGGTGAGCAGCCGATTGTTTCTTTATAATTCTTTAGGGGGTGGTGGGAGAGCATTCAAATGAATTGGCTTCCTAACGACATCAGCGCCGAAGGCGCAAGTTCCCTAGGGGATCCAGGGGTATGCCCCCTGGAAAAGTTTGAAAATTAGAACCCTAGAAATGCCATTTCCTGCAATATGGGCATTGAATTATGAGCTTCAGTTTGACTTCAAAAAAGGAAAAACCTTGGAAATTGTGCCATATTTCTGACCCCCCCCCCCCCTATAAATCCACCCCTGCTTAAGTATGCGCATCCTGCTATAGTACAGAATGCTTAATTATTTTAAGTTATTGCTTGTTGTTTTTAGGTCCTATGGAAACAAAGATTGGAAAAGGCCATGTCTCTTTAAACCTCACCTTACGAAAGTATGCTGCATTTTACTCTAATGTATGACCGATTCAAAAACTCAAAACTGGCCAACACATTTCGCATTATTGTATATTTTTTTGCATTGCAAGGCTAATAAACATTTTTTAGCTGAGAATGCTGTTTAAAGCAAGCGAAGTTACTGTATAGCCCTTTGAAATGTGCAAAAGCACCAAAACGAGGCTATAGTCAGTCTTCTTTGCTAAATTTAGCAAAGAATTTAAGATTTAATTTCTCAAAAAGAATGCGTGGTATTATAATTATACTTTGTAAAAGTCTTGAAGTATTTTATGAAGCGGCAGAAATTATCTTGGTTGAAATTAATTTCGGAAGAACAAAGAATATTTTTCGAATCGGCTTTTTCTCCGATCCGAGTTCGTTTTTTCATCTTCTGATTTGGCAGAAATGAACCCCAGAATTGAAACCTTCATGATCAAATCAGCTCAATATTTAATGATGTTTGAACATCTAACAACACGTTTGAAAACTTTGTGAAGCGGAAATTCCATACAAACGTATAGCAAAAAAATAAATCTCAAAACGCCATACCAACAGTTTACCGTACCAAGTAATTCAAGTATTTGATAGCCTGTTTTTAATGGCATATGTATTCAGTGATTTCTTGCATGGTAATAATAAAATCTAAGTTTCCAAAACATTTAAAAGTACACAACACGTTTGATTTCAATGCTGAGGTCCACTTTTGGCAAAGATCTGTAGATAGTGAGATGAAAAGTTGATGACTCAACTCGGATCGGAGATCACTGTATTTTTTTTTCTTTTACCATGATTCATGCACTATCCATGATAAACCTTACTTTAAGGAAGGAAGGAAGGAATGCAACATGTATTCATGCACTTTACAATTCGTTTCGTTTTAAACGTAGTATAGACCAATACAAACAACTTATTTTGCCATACACATGTGACCTAGGACGTTCAACCTGTTTGCGAATGTTCGCCCATGCTGTTCAATTGACGGTTACCCTACTGCGTACAAGGATGTTAATCTGGTTACTATTCGAGAAAACACGGAAGGAGAATACAGTGGCATTGAACATATGGTATGTACAAGTATTTCAATCATCTATTATTAGTTGTTCAATAATTATTACTACAGATCCTAGATGCATGGGTTCCTGACAACATGCATGCAGGAACTTCACAACATCGTCTTGTCTTGTTGTTAACGATGACATATTAGGAAGCATGATATTTTCTTGTGTTGGTGTAATGTACTCAGGTGAATAAGATGCTTGTGGTGTTACTCTGAGTGTATTATCCACGCCAGGCAGGCTTGAAAAATATGCCTGGCCACGGTGGGAATCGAACCTACGACCTTTGGAATACTAGCCCAATGCTAGTATTCCAATGTAATGTGGATAATACACTCAGAGTAACATCACAAGCATCATATTAGGGAGCTTTAGCAACGAGTACGAGTACGAGTACGAAATTGATCGCGTGCGAGGAAATCACCGTAGTCGTTCTCGTTTCCTTTCAAATGTTGCTTTTATAGTAGTAAACAAACAACGAAAGAAAAATTTTCTATAAACTAAATCTCCAGCAGGCTAAAATCCCCTACAAAATGTGGAAATAAGTCATAATATTAAAAACAAGCCGGGATTATTTGCGCCGGATAAACGCTACAAATTATTTTTGAAAAACAAAAAAAAGCCAAGTTTCTTTTTTTTTTTGAAAAGTCGTCGTGGGGACTACGAGATTTCTCCACAATGTCACAGAGTAGAGACATACAGAGACGTAACTAGTGTGACCACTTTTTTTGTGCGCGTGCTCGGCAAGTTACTAGTTGCATGCATCTGATTGGATGACGACCTGATGACGACTCACTTTAAACTTGCTGAGCACGCGCAGTTGATCAGTTTTCGACCGGTCGCCTGAAAAAAAGTGGGTACATGATAACGTAATCTTCCGCAGTGTTTACGACGGTCAGTTACGTCTCTGTATGTCTCTACTCTGTGCCAATGTCGTACTCAGATGGGCGACGGCTACGACTTTTTCGCGTCAGTACGGGATGGCTGGCGTAAGCATACAGCATGCGTTTCGCTTGACGAATCTCGTACTCGTATTCGTTGCTAATGCTAAGGCTATGTGCACACGGGCGTCGTTTTGCAGCGTTTTCAAAAACGTTTTTGTCCGTAAAATCGTTTTGACGCCGTATTCGCACAGCCCAAAGGAAAATATCTCGGATATATTAAATAAACTACAACTTCTGTCATAAATTGATAGTGTTTGTATCCGTTTTAGCGTGAAAACACAAATGAAAACGCTCGAAAACGTTACCGTGTGCACATAGTCTAAAGCTCCCTATTTGCTAAATTTTTTTCAAACTTGTGAGAGCTCGTTTCCTCATTATCCTGGAGGTTCATATCCGACCGCTACCTCGCACTGGCTTAGTACGTATCTCATTGGTTAATGGTCCCTTAATGGCACGGTTGCAGTAGTCGAATATTGAACCTCTGCTAAAAATATCCACAGTTCAAACATGAAAGATTTTCCTAAGTATCGACCAAGATTTTCTTTAAGCTGGAGTTTAGTTTCATGAACAAAAACAACTCTCATAAGAATTGCTTGGTGTACCTTGAAAAAGACACGACCATAGAAATAAGTACCGCTAAGCATACACGTATCTGTAACAAGTGTTGTTGTTAACGATGACAGATTTGCAAATTTTTTCCAACTTGTAAGAACTCGTTTTGTCAGTGTTACCTGCGATTCTAGCTTGAGTTACGTATGACATTACCTCCCACTGGCTAAGTAGGCGTCTAATTGGTTAATCGGATGTATCAAACGCATCTGATTGGTTAATAGTCCCTTAATGGTAGCGGTAGTCAAATCTGAACTTCTCTAATAGAAATGCAGGGAATTGCACGATGCGCATAATAAAATAGCAATAACCACAGAGAAAGAACGTTACACAAACATTTATTTCTTATTCTTAATCCTCTTACTATACAAACTAAACATCGCTATACATATCACCTTTCGCCTTCGTACGAAAAAAAAACCCGTCACCACACGGGCGGCTATTGTAGGACACATTCACAGTACATTGTAGGACACGTTGTCGGCTGACCGGGGCATGCTGTATTGCACCAGCCCGAAAACTTGTCGCCTTCTATTGGTCTGCATGTGCACACGGTGTCACTGCGCTTTTCCATGTGATTTTCTTTACCCAAAGGAGAGGCCACGGCTTCACTTCTTGGCAAGACTATCATCGCATTCATAAAAACAACGACTGCAATCATTGCGTAAATCGCCATCTTTTACCTAAAATATAATTCAAACTTTACTTAATGTTATAAATATCTCAAGTCTTCAAATAACACTGCCTAGGTCATCTGGGTTTTTTTCCTTCTAAAGCTTGGATGAAATCAGGATAAGATTGCATGGCAGTTGGTAGTCATGCACGCGGCCTTGATTAACTGTTCAGCCTGTTCTTAATACTCTTCCAACACTTTCATGTAATATTCTATTTGAGCTAGTTGGAACACTCATCAGACCTCTATTTTGTGAATCTAGAGGCCAAAATTTCCACCTGACTGCCAACTCTGTTTAACAGGGGCTCTCATCCTCGTTTACAAGTCGATATTGTCTTGTGCCGAGATTGATCACAGTGTGTGGCACCATACGTTCTCTACGACCTACATATGCAGGCAGTTTTATATTTGACTTACGCAGGAAATTTTTTTGGATGTTACTGCCATATATACGACTTATTTCCCTTAACCTATTGGCACGAATATTTGGATTTAGTTCTACTCTACAAAATAATCAATGGCTACACATATATCGATGACAGTGCGCGACCAACAATGGCTGGTTCTGGAAAAACGAGGAACGAAACAAATGAGAACTTATATAAATTTTCAATACCATTTGCCAATACGGTGACCTTCCAAACTTCTTATTTCATTAGAGCATGTAAAAATGGAACATTTTGGGCTGTGATCTTCGTCACAGAGATATTGGTCTTTTATCATCGTCATAGACATCTGTTCGTAATAGGCATCAAGTGCCAACTGAAGATTGTTTTCTTGCACGTGATGCTGTTAAACAAACACTCGATGCTGTTCTGCATGATGGTTTTTATGACGGAATAACCATTAGAACGTCTAGCCAAACACTTCCAACGTCTTGCGCACACTCTTTCCGACATCACTTGTGGGATGGCAAAACAATATATGATATTGACCAGCATTGAGGTTGTAGTTACCGAGGAGTGCTCCCCCCCCGGTTTTTGAAGCCGTCTGACTCGAGGCGCAACGAGCATAGTAGTATTAGAATCACAGCTAAAATAAACCTCATGCTAAATATCAAGATTTTGTTGCCATCTCACTCTTGACGGGTATTGTAGGAAATTATCGAGTGGAAATTTATATACTGTACATTTATTAGATCTAACCAGGAACAGTTGCGAAAAATGCAACTTTAGGTCCCAGCATGACAGGCGCTTGTGGTTATAGACAGGGACGCCGGAACTGGGGGGGGGGGCAGGGGGGGGCAGCTGCCCCTCTTGCCTTTTGCTAGGGGGGCAAGGGGGGCAGAAGTGCCCTTTCAGTTGTAAAATACTACCTGATAAATCACATTTCCAGTGATGCTTTTTCGGGCAAAATCATGAGATTCAGGTAATTTATAGGCCCAGAGAAAGTTAATTTACAAAAATAAGTGTGAATTTGGAAAAGAATGAGATTAATTTACAAAAATTTTATTTTTGGATAAATGGAGAAAATTGCTGATGTCCGGAAAAATTTTTTTTACGTATAAACGAAAAATTTTGATATGTCCGGAAAAAAATTTTGATCCTAAAATGGTACACTGACCGAATTTTTTTTGGCGACGGGGGGGGGAAGTTGCCCAGAAAAATTTCATGTAAACAAAAAATTTTCAGGTAAATTTCGAATTTTTGATCTGTAGAGGTGCCCTATGGTGTGCGTCTGCCCCCCTTTGCCTTTTTATCGTTCCGGTGTCCCTGGTTATAGAGCTCGACAACTTGCCTCTGTAGCTCAGTTGGTTACAGCGCTACACAGGAACCTAAAGTTGTATTTTGTGCAGCTGTTTCTGATTATAATATGCTTGTGATGTTACTCTGAGTGTATATCCACACCGGGCAGGCTTGAAAAATATGCCTGGCCACGGTGGGAATCGAACCTACGACCTTTGGAATACTAGCCCAATGCTCTGCCAACTGAGCTACGCGGTCAGGTCGGTTCGAGTATGTGATATTTCGGAACTGAGTCTATAGTTCCTTCGATATCAGTGTGTCACTAATCTAATAATCATGATATTTGCTGTGTTGGTGTAATGTACTCAGGTGAATAAGATGCTTGTGATGTTACTCTGAGTGTATATCCACACCGGGCAAGCTTGAAAAATATGCCTGGCCACGGTGGGAATCGAACCTACGATCTTTGGAATACTAGCCCAATAGTTCTAATCAATGTATATGAATTAAAATGGCATCTCATACGAAAAAATCACAACCGGCTTAAAGTGAGGTGATTCAGTTCTAGGACTGGATCAAATTAGGTATCCAGTATTATCATGTGAGGAAGTAATTGGTTGGCTAATTTACTCATGAATTGATCATTTAGGTTGTGGATGGCGTCGTTCAAAGTATTAAACTGATCACGAAGCAGGCGTCTTCAAGAGTGGCTGAGTATGCGTTTAGTTATGCGAGAGCTAACAACAGACACACAGTGACCGCTGTACACAAAGCGAATATCATGTAAGTTGAAATTTGCTGCTTCACATTGGGCATATAGGGCAATTTGATTTATTTCTGCAGCTAGATTTCTGCCATTACATAATGGTCAACGACCAGTTCTCAGAGTAAGAAAATACAGTGTGTATAATCCAACTTTGACAAGTTATCATGTGTTATTACGTATATAGGTTTTACATTATTACGTATATAGGTTTTGTTTTCGATAAAATACAAAACAATAGTCATCATCAAGAAATGAATGATGAACATATTACATATGTAACATCATCATCATTCATTTCCTGATGATGACTATAGTTCAGTCGAAACGTCGAAATAAATTTTAAAAATGTTTTCAATTTTCGGATTATCTATTGTTTTGTATTTTATCAAAATACTCAGTTGTTCCCGTAATTTTTGTTTTTGTATTTATAAAGATCAGGCTTGTAGCTGTGAAATGAAATCTTTATGGAATCATTGCGATACAAATGCGAGTTCAGTCTGCAAACGTCCAGTTGTGTAAAATATTTTAATCACACAATAGAACGTTTGCACACGACGTCACAGCCGCCATGTTGGTCTTCCAAATTCAAAATAACCAACGTCATCAACATGACCGCCATGGCTTTTGTTGAGTTGGTCTATTTCGATGCAAAATTGCGAGTAGAAATTTACCAAAACTTGATGCTTACACCTGCGTTGCACCATCTTGATTTAAGCGACTTAAATTTGAATTCCAAGTGAGAATAATTTCAATACTCGGACAATAACTTTATACACGCAATTCCCAACGGTGGAAAAATGCAATTTCGAGCGGTATTTTTAATGTATTTGTCTATTTTTGATCGCAATGATATATGCAAGAAATGTATCATTCGACAGCTAAAAGCCTGAGCTTTATTTATTGTTATGAAAAATTAAATGGTTAAATGTAATATGCAAATCACGATAAGAAAACATGTCAAAGTTGGATTATATATGTACCTTTTTTATACTCCCTGCTACCTCCTCCGCAGGCCTTTCAAAAATACAGGGAGGCGAAAACAAGCCTTCGTCTTAGATTTCAAATTTAACCTGCGACGGGCATACGCATTACGAGCTGTATAGCCTGCGGAGGAGGTAGTACACCCTGTATATCGTATTCTTACAGGCGTTTGCATGGTAGCTAAGAAATGAGAGACGTAATTTCATTGTCTTGCTCTAAACGTCAACAGTTCTAAACTTGATCTAAACCCTGAAAACCACCAATATGAAAGTTTGGTGTTTCTGGTCTTTTTAGCTTTGAATTCTTTCGTTATAAACAGGAGAAAATCTGATGGACTGTTTCTCCAATGTTGTCGTGAAGTCGCTGAGAAATACAAAGACCTCAGATATCAGGAGACCTATCTTGATACGACTTGCTTGAACGTAAGGGATAATTGCTTTTAATATTTTAGGTTATGGCTTTGCAAGAATAAGTTTAAATGTTCTGTTTGCAGATTGTGAAAGACCCAAGTCAGTTTGACGTATTGGTCATGCCAAACTTGTATGGTGATATTTTGAGGCAAGTCACCGAGCTCCTTACCAGGCCCTTCCTAAAATTTTGATATGAAAGACAGCATTGTGAAAACTAAATCATAATGAATGAATACGAAGGTTGGGAAACTCGATGCAGACCTAATAGACTTCATTATCTGTGTTTATGCAAAAACTGTCGGTTCATTGTCACGTGTGCATTGTTTTTTTACCCAAACAACCAATAGCAGTGTGTTGAATGTTGGTTTAAGTACCCAGCTGAATGAAAACATAGCTCTGGTGAAAATACAAGTCTCGCGTGACGATGAACCGACCATTTTTTGCATAAACCGGGACAAAAACATAGATAATGGGTCTAGTATTTCTGCATCGAGTTCCCTAACCTTATTCTAATGAATTATAGGTAAAACGAATCTTAATCTAAATTCCGGCCGCAAGTATATCGAGCTAAATGTACAGGTCACTATTTTTTCAACTTTGTTGTTTGCGAGCTATTTCCATACGAAATATAACATTCTTGAAACCAGACTCTGAAAGCTGACATGTGACGTCGAGGTATTTGATGTTATAGAACAACACAAATGCACAATATACTTCTAGAATGCGATCCAGCCTAGACCTAGGCCTTCTATTTTTATTTATATTTTTTTAATATTCAGCGCTTTTTCACATGAAAAGACTGGGACTAGGTAATTTGGGGGCGGGGCGGAGGAAGGACACAAGCCTGACGCAAGCGAAAATATAGAAGGCCTAGTGGATTTCCCAACAACAAGGCCAAAACTGCCCTGATTGCGAAATGCCCAATTGTTGCATTCTCAAACAGAATTATTTGCAACTTAACAGCGAATTTAAACCGATACAGGTAAAATAAACTCATTTATAGTATAAACTTACTATTTTTATTTGTATACACGTCTAGAAAATCGGGTTTTTTATCATAAAGTTTGAAACAACACTATTTATATATGTTGACAAGGTGTAGCGAAACGGCACAAAATAATAATTCTTTTATTCGCAAGACAATCTACTGTTTTGCTTTGAATAACTATATTTGCGAATTGGGAATGAGGAATTTGAAATTAGTGTTCAAATATTACAGATATACCATTTGTATAAACAATGTACGTTTTTATATACAGTACTGTACGGGCTAATAATATATGTATCCGTTTTATTTTGTATATTTTACAAACACAAGACTGCTTCTTGCCAAAATTGAGAAAATATATATTAATGTACTTGTGTATAAGACAAAATTTCATGAAAGATTCTACTTTTGGTATATATTTTGACTCATTTTGTGCTTTCGCTACACCTTGTCAACATATTAAATAATAGTGTTGCTTCGAACTTTATGATAAAAAACCGATTTTCTAGACGTGTATACAAATAAAAATAGTAAGTTTATACTATAAATGAGTTTATTTTACCTGTATCGGTTTAAATTCGCCGTTAAGTTGCAAATAATTCTGTTTGAGAACGCAATAATTGGGCATTTCGCAACCAGGGCAGTTTCAGGGCAGTTTTGGCCTTGTTGTTGGGAAATCAACTAGGCCTTCTAGGCTTGGTTCCTCCGCCCCGCCCCCAAATCACCTAGTCCCAGTCTTTTGATGTGAAAAACCGCTGAATACTAAAAAATATAAATAAGACTAGAAGGCCTAGGTCTAGGCTGAATGCGATCATAATATACAGTACTTAATCTGATAACTCATTAGCATTTTGGGACGTAGAAACCATGATTTAACAAATATAAAACATTTTCCGTGTTGATATACAGTTATATCAACACGAGTGGAATTGGGAAAACGAGAAATTGTATGGAAACACGACACCCGAAGGGAGGAGTGTTTTCATACAATTTCGAGTTTTCCCAACTTCCACGAGTGTTGATATAACTATATATCAATACGGAAAAAATGTTTTATATTTTTTTTATAATATAGCAATGTCAAAAGCCCGAAGGATAAGAAAAATTTCCGTGTTTACAAGCGGCGGAAAATTTCCCGTGTTGACATTGAGTTATATCAACACGGCTCTTAGCCAATCAGCGTTCAGAATTAACAAATACTATATTATAAATACGTATATCAAACTAGCGAAACAACTGAACGAAAAACTGCAAAAGAAGTTACTCTATAAGAAATAAGAAAAATTTTCGTTTCATATTTACGTAAAGTTAATCGTAGTTTTGTCATATGACTTATTTCTTTACTTGTTACAGTGATCTTTGTGCTGGGTTAATCGGTGGCTTGGGTGTCACGCCAAGTGGTAACATTGGGGAAGATGGAGTAGCCATATTTGAGTCGGTATGTTTATGACACGCTTTATGTTATAACAATAAAAACAAGCTTTCTTTGGTAGGGATGCGACTACCTGAAAAATATAAGTAGAATTTCGACGTTTCGAGCGAAGGCCCTTCGTGTGGAGTCACTATAGACGAAGGGCCTTCCCTTGAAAAGTCGAAATTCTCCTTATATTTTTGAAGTAGTTGCATCCCTATCAGGGCCGCCGAGAGGTTGGCAGGAGCCCGGGGCAAATTTTTTTTGGGGGCCCCCCTATCAAAAAAATATTTCCGGAAAAAAATTTTCCGGACAACAACCTCCCCCCCCGTCGCCAAAATATTTTCGGTCAGTATACCATTTTAGGGGTAAAAAATTTTTCCGGACGAGTACGTTGCAATTGCTTTCCAGGGACTTTATCTCATTTTTTATGCCAAATTTCGGTACTTAGCCCAAGAAAACAGATATCTTGTCCCTTGCGCGGAAATATTTAACACACAAAAAAGACTGGGGCCCAACAAAAATTTTTCAGGGGCCCCCAGCACCTCGGGGCCCGGGGCAATTTCCCCCCCCCTCTGCGGCCCTGATCCCTACCAAAGAAAGCAAGTTTATAGTGTCGGCACTACCTACACTGGCACAGACAGTTCATTACTATAACAATATCATTTCTTGAGCTACTATATAGCAAAATGTTCACATATTTGCAGGATTGTAGTTTAAAACTCGTATACTACCACTGTCTGCCTCCCTATAGGTACACGGCACAGCTCCAGACATCGCAGGTGAAGATAAGGCGAATCCCACGGCGTTGTTATTGAGCGCTGTAATGATGTTACGTCATATGAACCTTGGTGACCACGCCAACCTTATTGAACATGCCACACTCGCCACTATCAGAGAGGGAAAGGTAGGAGATGTACGCCTGTATTCTAAGAGCTCCCTCACGCTCACACTCCGAGAGTGGAGGTTCAATCTGAGCTTTCCTTGAGTGTACTGTAAGTGCAGTTTGTAAACTACACTGACACTCAAGGGGAGCTCAGATTGAACCTCCACTCTTTGAGTGTGAGTCGTTAGTGTTCATGACGCAATGCCCTTCACTTCTGTGACCAAGGATTGGTATACTGTATAGTGTAGCAGATTGGTGGCAAAATTGTGCATTTGTGCATCAGGACATTTTTTTGCTATGGAGGCATTACAGATTAGCTCCTGGTTACCATTTATACCTATCAAAGTACAATCTTATATAAAAAAGTGAAATTTCAAAGTTCACTTTTAGCAAATATCATGGCCCTATATCGTTAGTACGTTAAATTCAACATGTAGCACGGTTTTCTAAGCCTATCCCAAGTTATGAACAGTCAAAAACCATAAAATGGTACAAAAAGGGTTAAAAGGTCACACAATACTGATTTTTAGTAGGTTCAAACTTATATGACTGCCATTGTCTTCTAATAGTTAAATGAGAACGTTTTCAAATAAATAATGCGTTCTTAAATGTTGAACTAGGTCCGCACAGGAGATCTCGGTGGCGATGCCAGCTGTTCTGCATTTACTGAAGAAATTTGCAACAACTTAAAAAGATGATAAACAGCGAAAGAACACTCTGTCACAGTGTAAGATCTTATATGTACACGCTCAAGCTATTACTTGCAAATAATATTGTTGACTTTTTATTCACGTAGAAAGACACAGCGGATAGCTTGAGTCAAAACATTGCAAGTAAGTCAGCAAATGATATACAGCTATATTTAAAGGTGAAAGAACAGAAGTATAATTGAGCTGTAAATATTTTATGTGGAAAGAAATGAATAAACATGACCACAATGTTGATAGTATGGTACAGTATCTTACATTGTAGAGGTTGATTACGGGGGTACTGGACAAATACGAAAAGTAGTTTACGTTTTACAGCATGCTAAAATGCAGTATTATACACTCTCCAGGGGGGAGCTTAAACGTTTTTGCCCGACTTTTTGTGAAATCTTGTATGGAAATGACCTGAATATATTTTGTAAAACACTCGCCCGAATATTCTTCATTTTTCTAGCATTTGCGCAGAGCAGTACCCCACCCCCTTGCTTGTATTTTACTCCAACAAAGAATTATTTTCTTTTACCATAATATCTCATTCATACAGTATATATTTCTGTATCTTTAGTTTTTACCTTCTGTATGTTAGTATAAAGTTTTTATCTTATCTACATCTTGAAGATTTAGCTGTCATGCCAACCCACTTATGAGTTCAAACTATCAACGTATTTTCAATCTTCTCCGGTAGTTCAGACGCAAACCACGACAGCTTAGTTGGTTTTTTTTGAAAACTACTTAGACTGGACTCCCACGTTAGCGATAACGGCAGATTATTGTGGAATACTATACCTACACAGAGCGCCCACATTTGAGATATCTTTTTTAGGTCGTTGCATGCTTCTGAGTTCTGCCGCCCCTGTCTAAGTTAGCTTCAAAAATTATATCACCAACAACACGAATATACTAAAGTCTGCTTTCAATATGGTCGTAAATGTCGCGAATGTGTTGTAACTGTCGTCAGAGAAGTGTTCGCGACCAAATGGGAACATGAAGAAAAGTCTTGTTGCGACACGCTTGTAACAGTTCACGACAGTTACAACTGCGTCGTCGAGATAGACTCGAGTTCTATCCAAGGGCGTCAATCTATCCCAAAAAGTGGAGGGGACAGACTCCAAAGGCATTCCCATGCAGCGTTTTGGAGGCACTTATAAAGTTATATTATAATGTCCATGATCTTAAATCCATGTTTAACTATGTGAGAAATCCGCTAAAAACCAACATGTCCTAGCCTGTGAACAGACGTTACTCTCGACGAAGCCTAACATGTCCTCACCGGCTCACCCTTATTTTAATGCGAATAATACTATTAAATTAACCATTTTCCTTATTTTGAGGATAATCGTCTATGTAAGGGAAACTCAGTTAAAACGCAATTATTTTTAAGTATTTACAATTTTACATAATATATGCGATCATGTCAGTATTTGCTCCAAGCGACTACAGAAAGATAATACGTTCTGCTGCTTCTTATTAAATATCTTCCTTTCAATCACATTAGGTTTTTAGATAACCAAGAAGCAAAATTTCGTTAAACATGTCAAAAAAGTGGGTGGGGGGATAATTAGATATTCGTCCCCCATTCCAAAAACTGGGGGGACGCGTCCACTCCATATCACAAACCCACCTCCCAGGATTGACGCCCATGGTTCTATCTCGACGACAGTTGCGACAGGGTGGGAAAGGGTATTTTCGTGAGCCGTGAATGTTGAATATTTGTTCGTGTGACTTGTGAAATGCTTGATTTTAGTGTCGTGAAATGTGATTTGTTCTACAGCCGTGAGGCGTGATTGTTGATAAAAATGCTCCGTGAAATGAGAATTAAGGATGCCTGTTTCGTGAACTGTGATTATTATAGTGATTATTATAATAAACATGATACGCGATAATCAAATTTATATGATCTCAAATTTATATGATCTCGGCGGCACGCGCGCCATCATGGCGTTCAGTCGGGGATTTTTGTGCTCCCGCAATTTATTAATAATTTTGTATATTTATTTGATTTTGAATGGTTCAATTGTCAAAAAGCAAAGGGAGAAATGTTTATCTTGTACCAGTTCAATTTTATACGTCTCAGAATTACTCGCTTGCTCAAGACCTGTCTATAATGGAAATATGCGAAGAAAAACCGTTAAACATAAACCGTTAGGAAACTCGATGTACTTCCTCCTTGGATCAAGATTGTTTATAAACACTTCTATTGCTATCATTCTTCTACGTTTAACTGGTGATATTGAAAGTAATCCTGGTCCTGTGTTTGAAATCCCTGGTTGTTTAAAAAGGGGGCTCAAAGTAAGTCATCTTAATGTACGAAGTTTACTTCCGAAGATTGATTTGGTACGCATGTTTATCAGCAAGAATCCATTTGATGTTTTTACCTTATCTGAAACTTGGCTTAAACCTACAGCTACTGATGCAGAAATTAACATACCAAACTATCTAATTACTCGTCAAGACCGTAAAGATAAAGCTGGTGGCGGGACAGCTATTTATGTCAAGGAGAGTTTACCATATCGAACACGTGATGATTTATGTAGTAAAACAATTGAAACATGTTGGATTGAGATTATACGACCTCGTACGAAATCAATGTTTATTTGCTCGGCCTATAGACCGCCAGAACTTCCACTAAGTAAATTTATTGAGGAACTAAACAAAGAACTTGCCAAAATTCCAGAAAACGCAGAAATTGTTTTATTGGGTGATTTCAATGTCGACTACAAACAACGCTCAACGGATAGATCGCGCATGCAAACACTTGCGCGAGCTCACTCGATCGAACAAATCGTTATGTCACCAACAAGAATTACGGAAAAAACGCAATCAATGATTGATTTGATTTTTGTGAACAATAATCCACGCGTTGTTTCTAGCGGAGTTTTCCCTTTGTCAATCAGCGATCATTCCCTTATATACTGCACAATTAAAGCTGGACTTCCTAAATCTGGCGGATGTTATAGGGACATTAATTATCGTTGCTACAAACATTACAATGAAGGCAAATTTAGAGACGATGTAGGAAAATCAGATTGGACTTTCATTGACTCGTTAAATGATATTAATGAAATTACCAATAAGTTTTGCGAAACATTTTGTGAATCGGCCAATAAGCACGCCCCTATGAAAACCAAGAGAGTAAAATCTATCGTAAGAGCACCATGGATGACCCCTGAACTTCTTAACCTCATGCGAGAACGCGATTTTCATTTAAAACATGCCCAAAAGTATAATTCAGAATACCACTGGAATACCTACCGCGATCTTAAGAATTTCATAAACCAGCAAGTTAAGATATGTAAATCCAACTACTATCAAAATCTGATCAATGACAACAGAGATAAACCTGCTGAACTTTGGAAAACAATTAATGAAGTCACTTCTCGCAATCCAACTAAAACCACTCCTTCCTGTATTATCAGTGAAAACGTCCCGGTAAACGACCCACGTTCCATCGCAACAATCATGAACGACTATTTCTCATCTATAGGATCCACGCTTGCGAACAAAATTAAAGATCTAATCAAACCCAAACCGACTAAGACCACCGCTACATCACCCCATTCCTTTAATTTCAAAGAAGTTGATGAAGTGTCTGTGTTGCAGGAACTGAGTAAATTAAGAACTACCAAAGCCACTGGTCTGGACGGAATTAGTGCTAAACTACTTAGAGATTCCGCCTATATAATCGCACCATATTTGACCAAAATTTTCAACCTCTCCTTACGCTGTGGCTCATTTCCCGACATCTGGAAGAAAGGTAGAGTTACTCCAATTTTCAAATCTGGAGACCCAACTTCATCCAACAACTACCGACCAATCACCATCCTACCAACCTTGAGTAAGTTACTAGAACGAATCGTCCACCATCAAGTTTACAATTACCTGCAAGAACACAAGTTACTAGCTTCCCAACAATTCGGTTTTCGCTCCAAACTGTCAACCACCATTGCTCTGGCACATTTTACTGAGCAGATACTGGATAATCTCGATCACAGAAAAATCACTGGTGCCGTCTCTATCGACCTAAGGAAAGCTTTTGATACCGTAGACCATACCATCTTATTGGAGAAATTGAAAACAATCGGTTTTACCTCGTCTGTTCTCGACTGGTTCTGCTCGTATCTATCAAACCGTACCCAAGTAACCGTGATCAACAGTTCAATGTCGCAACCCAAGCCAGTAACTGTCGGAGTCCCTCAGGGAAGTATTCTTGGACCACTTCTCTTCCTTATTTATATTAATGATCTACCTGAATGCTTGACCCACTGCAAGTCGATACTTTATGCCGATGATACACTCCTTTATTACTCTGCAGAAAGTATTTCCGATCTACAGTCAAAACTCAACTCCGACCTACGATCCCTTTCTGGTTATCTTAACAACAACCTCCTTACACTCAATCATGACAAGACAAAGTTCATCATTTTCGCCGGTAGACAACGCCTAAGATCCATCTCCAACATCAACATCTCTATTTGCAATCGGACGATAAAACAAGATCAATCGTTGAAATATCTGGGCATCACAATTACCGAGAACCTTACCTGGCATGAACATATTGAGAAATTAATGGGGAAAATCAACCAAAGATTGGGATTGCTGCGCCGTGTGAAATCTTTCTTACCGCTGGATGCAAGACAGATTTTCTATACTTCGACAATACTACCGCTATTTGACTATGCCGATGTAATTTGGGGCGATAAAAACAATTCAGCACTCATGAACTCCTTGCAAAGTTTGGAAAATAAAGCAGCTAAATTAATACTAGATCTCCCTCCTCTTTCGTCGGCAACCGAAGCTCTCGCTACATTACACTGGTCAACTCACTCATCTCGCAGATATAAACATCGTTGTATCTTTATCTACAAATGCACTAACGGACTGATAGATTTCGACTTCAATCTCACAACTAACAGCAGAATCCATTCCCACAGTACAAGATCGTGTAACAACCTCCATCTCCCAAAAGTCAACACCAACTGGGGCAAACATAAACCAACCTACTTCGCTTCGAAAGACTTTAACAACTTGGACGTTTCCGTCAGAAACATTGATTTTTTGAGTCAATTTAAGTCTTTACTAAGGTCACATACCATACCATACCATATAACTATTCTTAGCTGTACTTACTAGATATAGTTAATTATTCGTTTCCTTATGTCGTCACGTTGTATATTAATTGTATATATTTATATAAGTAAATTTTGTTAATGATTGTATCATGCAGGACCCCACTGAAAAACACATTAGTGATGTGGGTATCCTGGATAAATATAATTATAAATAAATCTCACTTGACTGCACAAGAGAAAAAACTTCGGAGGCATTTCCCGAGGTTCCTGACGCTTAGGACAAGGTTCCTGACGCTGAGGGCAAGGTTACTGACGCTGAGGACAAGGTTCCTAGCAGTGAGGACAAGGTTCCTGGCGGTGAGGACAAGGTTCCTGGTCGTGAGGACAAGGTTCCTGCCGGTGAGGACAAGGTTCCTGGCGGTGAGTACAAGGTAACTGGCGGTGAGGACAAGGTGCCTGGCGGTGAGGGTAAGGTTCCTGGCGGTGAGGACAAGGTTCCTGGCGGTGAGGACAAGGTTCCTGGCGGTGAGGACAAGGTTCCTGGCGGTGAGGACAAGGTTCCTGGCGGTGAGGACAAGGTTCCTGGCGGTGAGGACAAGGCTCCTGGCGGTGAGGACAAGGTTCCTGGTGGTGAGGACAAGGTTCCTGGCGGTGAGGACAAGGTTCCTAGCAGTGAGGACAAGGTTTCTGGCAGTGAGGACAAGGTTCCTGGCGGTGAGGACAAGGTTCCTGCCGGTTAGGACAAGGTTCCTGCCGGTAAGGACAAGATAACTGGCGGAGAGGACAAGGTTCCTGCCGGTGAGGACAAGGTTCCTCGCGGTGAGGACAAGGTAACTGGCGGTGAGGACAAGGTACCTGGCGGTGAGCATAAGGTTCCTGGCGGTGAGCACAAGGTTCCTGGCGGTGAGCACAAGGTTCCTGGCGGTGAGGACAAGGTTCCTGGAGGTGAGGACAAGGCTCCTGGCGGTGAGGACAAGGTTCCTGGTGGTGAGCACAAGGTTCCTGGCGGTGAGCACAAGGTTCCTGGTGGTGAGGACAACGTTCCTGCCGGTGAGGACAAGGTACCTGCCGGTGAGAACAAGGTTTCTGCAGGTGAGGACAAGGTTCCTGCAGGTGAGGACAAGGTTCCTGGCGTTGAGGACAAGGTTCCTGGCGTTGAGGAAAAGGTTCCTGGCGGTGAGGACAAGGTTCCTGGCGGTGAGGACAAGGTTCGTGGCGTTGAGGACAAGGTTCCTGGCGGTGAGGACAAGGTTTCTGGCGGTGAGGGCAAGGCTCCTGGCGGTGAGGACAACGTTCCTGGCGGTGAGGACAAGGTTCCTGGTCGTGAGGACAAGGTTCCTGCCGGTGAGGACAAGGTTCGTGGCGGTGAGGACAAGGTTCCTGGTGGTGAGAACAAGGTTCCTCGCAGTGAGGACAAGGTTCCTGGCGGTGAGGACAAGGTTCCTGGCGGTGAGGACAAGGTTCCTGGCGGTGAGGACAAGGTTCCTGGCGGTGAGGACAAGGTTCCTGCCGGTGAGGACAAGTTCCTGGCAGTGAGGACAACGTTCCTGGCGGTCAGGACAAGGTTCCTGGCGGTGAGGACAAGGTACCTGGCGGTGAGGACAAGGCTCCTGGCAGTGAGGACAAGGCTCCTGGTGGTGAGGACAAGGTTCCTGGTGGTGAGGACAACGTTCCTGGCGGTGAGGACAAGGTTCCTGGCGGTGAGGACAAAGCTCCTAGCAGTGAGGACAAGCTTTCTGGCAGTGAGGACAAGGTTCCTGGCGGTGAGGACAAGATTTCTGGTCGTGAGGACAAGGTTCCTGCCGGAGAGTACAAGGTTCCTGCCGGTGAGTACAAGGTTCCTGGCGGTGAGGAAAAGGCTCCTGCCGGTGAGGACAAGGTTCCTGGCGGTGAGCACAAGCTAACTGTCGGTGAGGACAAGGTTCCTGGCGGTGAGGACAAGGTACCTGGTGGTGAGGACAAGGTACCTGGTGGTGAGGACAAGGTTCCTGGCAGTAAGCACAAGGTTCGTGGCGGTGAGCACAAGGTTCCTGGCGGTGAGCACAAGGTTCCTGGCGGTGAGGACAAGGTTCCTGGCGTTGAGGACAAGGTTCCTGGCGTTGAGAACATCGCTCCTGGCGGTGAGGACAAGGCTCCTGGCGGTGAGGACAAGGTTCCTGGTGGTGAGGGCAAGGTTCCTGGCGGTGAGCACAAGGTTCCTGGCGATGAGGACAAGGTTCCTGGCGGTGAGGACAAGGTTCGTGGCGGTGAGGACAAGTTTCCTGGCGGTGAGGACAAGGCAACTGGCGGTGAGGACAAGGTTCCTGGTGGTGAGGACAAGGTTCCTGGCAGTGAGCACAAGGTTCCTGGCGGTGAGCACAAGGTTCTTGGCGATGAGCACAAGGTTCCTGGCGGTGAGGACAAGGTTCCTGGCGTTGGGGACAAGGTTCCTGGCATTAAGAAACAAGGCTCCTGCCGGTGAGGACAAGGTTCCTGGCGGTGAGGACAAGGTTCCTGGTGGTGAGGACAAGCCTCCTGGTGGTGAGGATAAGGCTCCTGGCGAAGAGGACAAGGTTCCTGGTGGTGAGGACAAGGTTCCTGGCGTGAGGACAAGGTAACTGGCGGTGAGGATAAGGTTCCTGCCGGTGAGGACAAGGTTTCTGGCAGTGAGGACAAGGTTCCTGGCGGTGAGGACAAGTTTCCTGGTGGTGAGGACAAGGTTCCTGGCGGTGAGGACAAGGTTCCTGGTCGCGAGGATAAGGTTCCTGCCAGTGAGGACAAGGTTCCTGGCGGTGAGAACAAGGTTCCTGGCGGTGAGCACAAGGTTCCTGGCGGTGAGGAGAACGTTCCTGGCGCTGAGGACAAGGGTCCTGGCGGTGAGGACAAGGTTCCTGGCGTTGAGGACATGGTTCCTGTTGGTGAGGACAAGGCTCCTGGTGGTGAGGACAAGGCTCCTGGCGGTGAGGACAAGGTTCCTGGTGGTGAGGACAAGGTTCCTGGCGGTGAGGACAAGGTTCCTGGCGGTGAGGACAAAGTTCCTAGCAGTGAGGACAAGGTTTCTGGCAGTGAGGACAAGGTTCCTGGTGGTGAGGACAAGGCTCCTGGTCGTGAGAACAAGGTTCCTGCCGGTGAGGAGAAGGTTCCTGGCGGTGAGGACAAGGTTCCTGGCGGTGAGGACAAGGTTCCTGGCGGTGAGGACAAGGTTCCTGGCGGTGAGGACAAGGTTCCTGGCGGTGAGGACAAGGTTCCTGGTGGTGAGGACAAGGTTCCTGGCGGTGTGGACAAGGTTCCTGCAGGTGAGGACAATGTTCGTGGCGGTGAGGACAAGGTTCCTGCCGGTGAGGACAAGGCTCCTGGCGGTGTGGACAAGGTTTCTGCTGGTGAGGACAAGGTTCCTGGCGGTGAGGACAAGGTTCCTGGCGGTGAGGACAAGGTTCCGGGCGGTGAGGAGAAGGTTCCTCGCGCTGAGGACAAGGTTCCAAGCGGTGAGGACAAGGTTCCTAGCGCTGAGGAAAGGTTTTTGGCGTTGAGTACAAAGTTCCTGGCGGTGGGGACAAGGTTACTGGCGGTGACGACAAG